GTTATGTCTGTAGCTGTTAGATAAATGTTGTCTGACCATGTTTAGTTCATTCTGCTCCATTTTTCCACTTAGAATTTGCATAGTAGATTCTGTTCTCTTACTTTTTTTTTTCAAAAATACTGTATTGAAGTGTAGAAACGTAAATGTTCTCATCCTGACTTATAGCCTAAGCAGCTGAGCACGCTAAATAAAAAGCTCCTTTCACAGCAGCTATTTTGTGGGTATTATGCAAGATGTTCTGTGCTTTGATATAGCAGCTCCTAAAGAAAGTGTATTGCAACATGAATTTATAGCAAGACTTTATGCACTTAGTCTGGTAAAACATGTTGGGGTGGGGAAGAGAGCAAGCTGTTGTAAACTCCTATAAAGTACAGAAAACTTCTACTTTACCTCCTTTCTAACAAGTGTAAACTATTGAGGCTGAGTAGGTGGGGCAACCGGAAGTAATTACTAAGGCCAGTGGCATTTTTGCGGTTCAATGAAGGCAGAAGCTAATTATTCAGTTTTTATTTAAGTGAAATGATGCCAAAAAGGAGGTTCCTGCAGAGCAGCTGCACTCCTTCAGTGTTACCCTAATTTACCACAGACACAACTGTCACAAACAGAACTTTTAAACTTGATATATAGCCACGAAAGTAAGGAGCCCTTTGTCTGGAGTGCATGCAGAAGAACTCCTTTATACAAATCAACCGGCAGATGACGGACAATGATGAAAATTTGATTCTTTGAAGTCATAATGTTCATTGAAATGTGTGAAATTCTGGTATTGAAAAGAGAGCGGCTAGCAAGACTCTAAATCCTGGGTGGTTGCTGGAAGCTTGCTGGGAGGTTTTTCTGTGTTTTGACATCAACTTCCCATTGCTTGTTCCCTGTTTCCTTTATTAAAAAAAAAAAGGCGGGGGGTGCTAAACAGTAGATAGTTGATAGTGGTTATGTACAGTTTTTGTCTATGCATGGAAAGAAATGTCATAGGAGAAGCATGACACCTTTATACACACCTGACCCATTTATTCAAAACCACTTGTTTTCAGAGATACTTTCAATCATTTTGTCTCTTCCCCTTGAATTCCGGAGTTTCTTGTTTCTTGTCCCCTTTGGAATTTGTGCTATTAGTGGAGTACTTAGAAGGAAATTCTCGTTTCCTTTAAAAGTCATCTTCATGCTGAATACTGCTTTCATTGATACTGCCTCTGTGAACCAGGTTTTCTCCCTGCTGTATAGCACATTGATCGTTTCTTATTACTCTTTCCAGAACAGCTTTACCAGGCTTTCCACCATGACAAGTGTTCTTAAATAGTGTAAATTATAATAAAGACAAAACCTCCTCTTCATTTGTAAGCAATTTGATATGATTGCTGCTGTTTAAAAAAATGTTTTGTCCCTCTTAGCATATTCCAAGAAGAGCCAAAATGCCTCAAAATGAGTATTTTAATTTTTTTGAATTACAAAAAAATTCAGAGGTTGCTATTAAAAAAAACCCTCTATATATATATTAAGAAAAACAGAATGTCAGAATGCACCTTTTAGATGATAGCCTGTGTTAAAAATGTGAAGCAGGATTGTTAATTTTTAGTAAAGTAAACCTATACAGTTCAAATCTCAAGTCTTTTATATTGTCACATTGTTATTTAGAATTTTGAATGCCGAACACCTCACTAATATTTTAATATGCTAATATGGCAAAATTCAGTAAGGAACACTAAAAAAAAAAAAAGATAGTAATGTGAAACCAGCTGTCAAAAACATCTTTGTTTTGGAAAGTTGGTTCACAGGTAGTTTCAATGAGAACTTGAACTCAGAACAAAGCACTGAAGACACAGTAAAAAGTTCAACCCAGTGCAGCATAGTTCTTTTCAAGTATTACATTGTTTTAATGGCATCTTGGAGCGGGAGCTTTAGCCCATTGAAATGTCGCTTAAAGGACAGGTTCTTCTGTCACTAGCTGGAGCTGTGTGGATGAAATGATCACAATAGAGTGTTGTAATGCATTTTAAAAGTGTGAGAAATCAGTTTGTCTAGACTAAGAGTGCGCCTACAGGGAATAGGAATTTTAGAGCTTCTGTGCTCTTTAGGTGTCAAGTATGTGATAGATGCCAAGCCTTTTTATTCCATATCTTTGGCAACAGCTCAGCTATGCTACAGTACCTTACATGTCTACAGCAAGCAAAAACAGTGATTTTATGTCAGGACAACTTGGGCTTCAGAAACCAGAAACTCATTGTCCTAACAACTGTCTGTTCAATTGCCAGCTTTAAAATAGGGAAGATATCAATAAACAATTGCTAGATTCCCAGAAGGCATGGAAACTCTAGCTATAATGAATCAAAGTATGAAGAGCTAGCAACACCATGCAGATATTTGAGTTTTGGAAAGTAGGCAGGTTTTAGTTTTCACCTTGAAAAGATTTTTATGGGATGAATCCTATATTATTAGTGAAATAACTTTGATTTGGAGCCAACTGAGTGCCAAAAAAAACATGGCTTGAAGGGACTTACGGTTTGTCTGGGGTTTTGGTTTTATTTTCATCCAGATGAACAAGTCTAGGCATTTCTTTGCTATGGTTACCTCATAAATATAGCATTTGCTGTTTTTTAATGCTCTTTTTAGATTGTATTCTGTGGGCACTAATATGTAGTATTTTTATGATTCTCTGGTGTGGAGGCTTCAAAAGAAGAAATTGTATATGTGCATAATATTATTTAAACATAGTATCTTGTTTTAATAATTCCAGATAATTCTGGAACAGTTCAAAAAACTGAATCTGAAGCATAAAGTTCATAATGGACATACGAGTTGCTGAGAATAAGAGTAATAGTTAAAATTCATAATTTTGAGCTTGCATATTCGGAGGTATTTGATGATAACCCAGAATTTTTGGATGTAGCAGATTATTTCAGAGGGGAAAAAGAATTTTTTTGTGAATATTCTTATATTTCCGCAGTAGGCATGTTTGTTAAATACAGAAATAAAGACTAATAGAGTAGCCTATTCTTATAAACAGACAAGCTGAAACATTGAAACCCCACCAAACTTTACTGCAGGTGAAAAACCTTTTTTGTTAAACAAAGCACTTTGCCAATTCAAATAAGAAAACTTTGAGCTATTTCCTTCTAAAACTGTGGTTTAAGCTTCAGCAGTCAGAAATGCCAGTCTGTCAGGAGGTGTTTTACATGCGTGTTGCAACATTCCGGTGACTGGTAGTGTTTCTTTTTCATATCACTGCTAGACTGATATTAAAAATAAACATTACTTGGTCCTAATGAAAGTATTCATAATGGAATTGTTAAGATATTTTGACAGTTTCTTTTGGTAGTCTGGGTAGAAATGTCAGAAGTTGGAAAATTAGTGTGCATGCTTGTTTGTTTCCCCTGCTGTTATAATTGCAAATACAAGTCAAATGCTTTACACTTGCTCCCTTGTGTAGTTTTGAGGGACTGACTTCCCAAAATTTGTTTCTGAAGTGAAACAAAAAATGAGACTTGCCTCATTTCAAAGGATGATCTGGTGACAGCACCAAGAGCTTTTAAGTTTGCCACAAAACAAAATCCCATAAAGTTAGTAGCTACAAACATGTAAGGCCCACAGTGTTTTATTTAAAGTTGTTTGCATTTTAATTCAAGTCATGGCAGTACTGACGAGATGAGTTCAATATGCCCAAAATTTTGCTGCACTTTTTTGGACTTTTACCAGTTTACTATTTGATCCTGGAGAGAGAAGGGGAGGGGAGGGCAGGGAGGGAGACCAAGGAGCTCCTACTGGCCTTTTAAATATGTAAGGAACAGGAGTAGTTTAGCATCCTTAGAGATGGATTTGATATTTGATTTCACTCTTTACTCTACTAGGGTGAACTGACAGGTTAATTTTGTGTAATTACTGTTTAGTTTTTAGCGAGAAAGTTCACTTTAATTATATCAGATGCTGCTGAGGGTAATTTTTCACAGCAGTTCTTGTGAGGTTTTTCCCTATTTTGTTCTTTGTTAAAGTCAGTTAATATTTTTAGGCTGGTTTTGTGATCCTTTAATTTTTATCTTTGTTAGGTTTATTTGTTAAGGGCTCACAAGCCAAGCCTTAGTAGAGGAGGGCACCCTACTACTGACTATATACAATGTTACAAGCCTTTTTTTTTTCTTTGAAGGTTGGAATCCCCTGAATCCTTTTGTCCTTCACAAAAATACAGAAGAATGTTACCAGTATCAAATGTTTCCCTCTTGATCTTGAACATCAACAGAAGAATTGACTCTCAAAAGCTGATATTTGTAGCTTGAAACATGACAAGGGGGGCAATTTTATATAATAACTAATGGTTAGAGAAATAAGAGAGCTGAATACTAGTACCTCTGCAGTCTCAAATAAGCAATAGATTATTGTGCAAAAGATAACCTCTTGCCTCTTCCTTTATGCTAAGCATAGCTTCTTGAGTCAGCATGGATCTTGGTGCCTCTTAATTATATGCAGACTTGAGCCCAAGTGAAAGCATTTGCACTGCAGCACATAGTTGGCTGGCTAGGATTTTGGTGAACAGTCCTGTTCATATGAAGTTTAGGCTCCTAATGGTAATGTAAAATTTCAGGATTAGTCGATGTTTCAGTCTGTGCTCTAATATTTTAAGGGAGAAAGAAGAGTTTGTACATTTCCGCGTTTGCTTTAGCTGGTGCAAGTTGGAGCAGTCCTGACTTTGCAGCTGTGGTCAGAGGATGCGGGGGAATGTCCTGTCCTTCCTCTGGTACTAGCAGTTGTGTAGCTGGGAGATGAGCAGGTTCAGGTAACTGGTCCATGCAAAATCTAATTCAGCCAGGGGAAGCAGGATGATAGCAGCCCCAACATGTATTAGCTTCACTTCTATACCACTGGACTCATAACGTACTTTCTATAGTTTTTTTTCTTTTTTTGTAACTTAATAAAAATAAAGCATGAAATTTATGTAAAACACATACGCAGCATTATTTTGCAAGTCTTTTACATGAACCCTTTTTTAACAAGTTCCATTGTGTTTTTCATAGGATATCACTGCTTTAACTGGTGTTCCAGATGAGCACATCAAAACCAGAAAAGTTCACATTTTTGTTCCAGCACGTAATGCAATGCAGGCAGGAGTCAACAATACAAAGAAATGGAAGATGGAATTTGATAACAGGGAGCGCTGGGAGAACCCTTTAATGGGCTGGGCATCTACGTGAGTAGTTACTGAATGTGGAAATACTTTTCTTCTATATTTGGCTCTTTCTAGTCACGTAAATTTTAAGTTTGAAATGTCCTTTCTACCTGTAAATCTACTTGTGTTTTAACAGTACTTACAGTAACTGGTTGGGTTTGTTAGTCATATGATTAATGATCTGTTATGTTTAAAAGCAGATTTTAGCTCACAGCATCATCTGGAACAGTTTGAAAAAAGTGTTAACAACCAGAAATTTCAACAACTGCGTTTGTGGTGATGTTACTGTATGGCAGCATAAGGGAAAGAAAGTTATTAGTTACCTGAAGCAGTAGATCCTTTTCAGCTCTCAGTTGCATCCTTTAAATTTGATTAAACATAAAATAATAATACTTAATTTCTGCTTTTTTTTTGTTTTTTTTACAAAGTTTTATAAATGTCCTGAAGATCTGAAATGAGGAGCCGTAACTAATTTAAAGGCAAAAAGCAAACCTATTTAAAATATTACAGTGTTTGTTTCAATGTTGCTATATTAGTAGTAAAAACTCTTAAATATGCCAAAATCCAGAAAAGTACTAATCTTAGCTAAATATGCTATAATTTGGAGATGTCAGTATAACTTGGATGCAGCTAATTTTTAATTATTTTTTCCCTACCTACATTTTACAGAATTAGAATTCCTGTAGCCTATGAGGACTATGCCAGCAATTCTCCTGACAATATTGTAATTATGATTTGAAGCTGTCTTGTTTGAGGCATATTCAGAAAAGTTAATTATTTTACATAAACAACAATCAACCACTGCAGATCATTTTTCAAACTTCAAAAATGATACAAAGTGTATTGAAAATGTCTGGCTGCACTCGTACTAGCACTTATGATCAAAGAACACAAAATTCTCTGGGGAAAAAAAAACCCTTAAAACCTTAAACATGAAATAATTTGAGGACGCATTTTTTGAGATTTATTAACATTCTAAATCCAGTCACAGAATGATTCCCCCCCGCCCCCCCGCCCCGGTTTTATTTACTTTAAATCTATCTAGAAATATTAGTTCAAATTCACACTGAAATCAAGTCTTCCTGTTATGTTGGTTTCCCATAAAAAATTGAGGAGGCCTACAGCCTGTAACATCTTGGTTGTATTGGTATTGCAAAGCATTAGGGAGGCCAAGCTCAACTATCATTACATGAGAAAAAATGCTGAATATGAATTACACATTAAATGCGTTAAAGTAGTCTGTTAAAATACCTGTTTTAAAACTTTAAGCCTGTATATAACAATTACCTCACCTTAAGCACATCCTGGGGTTTTTCACCATTTCATCTTAAACATATTTAAATTGGTGTTTCAGAGGATAAGATTTCAGTGATTTAATACATGTATGCTTTGGATGACTCGACTACTACAAGTAGCTGCTGCTTTTAACGACCAGGTTGTTTCACAGGGCCTGAATTAAAATTAAGTGATAGACTGTTGACCAACAATACACCTTTCCCTCTTGTCTTGTGTGCCCCCCAAGTGTCTAGCCACTAAAGCATGGTCTGTTTATACCACTGCACAGATTATAATATCACACTGTAGCAGGTGCCAGTAACACCTGCTTTAGTTCAGGTTGAATTCAGCTTTTCTCCTAATCCCCATTTGCTTTTCAGCTGACGGTAACCTCCCCAGACAGATTATTTTCTGGGTGCCATTTTGCATGGTCTCAGCCACAACAATGGCTTTTAACCTTTCTAACAGTTACAAACCATTTGTGCTAAATAAACCACCTAGAAAAATGACCCATGGTATTAAGGGTTTACCTGTATGTTAAATTGTGCTGCAGTGAGCTTACTGTGGGAATTTAAAAAGGAATGGATGTTTTGAATGAATGCATCTCTGTGTGTGTTTTTATTTTGGGGTAGGGAAAAAGGAAAGGAATATTTCCTGTGTAAGCAAGCTGCAGGTAGGCCAAAAGCAAGCGCTGTGTTGAGAATTGTCACTGCTAGGTTAAGGTTTGTGTCTCTTAATTTTTTAAGGCATTCTCACAAAAACTATAAGTGGACATTCTGGTAATTTCAAATTATCATTCAACACCCAGAAATACCTAAGAAAAGTTTCTTCTCTTCAGATTTAATTTCTGCAGAGAACAGTTCTTAGAAGTTTTCCCATTTACTTGTGAATAATGTAATGGGATTAGTGGATTAGAGCCTTTAGGGTCTAGGGATTAGAGCCCTTTTCCTCTGAACTCAATATACTTATTTACCTGTAGGTCTTTGCTATATTTCTGTCATTTTACAGTCTCGTTTGCTTTTTTGGTTGTGTTTGTTGTTTCTTTCTTTCAGTGATAATTATCCAGTTGCAGATCTGAATAAAATGGACCCATGGCATTCTTTTTTTTAACTGTTAGGTTTCATTACAGGAATGGCTGTGGATAGTTCTTGAGTACATCTTTTAATATAAAGCTGTAAACAAATAAACATGGGAAATGCATGGTTTCCATTGTACAAGATCTCATAAGAGAACAAAATGTGGAATCCCAGTTTGTAGTGACTGGTAAGACAGTTTAGGGCAGGCATAGGAAATCCTGCAGCATTGCTCTTCCTGACACTATCAGGATATCATGCTGGCCATCCTGAGCTCCAGTTTGCTCACAGATAATAACAAACTTAAACACATGCTTAGCTCATTTATGGAAAGAAATCAAAAAGCTGTATTTAGATTGGATGAAAGATGATCCCACATGAAAGCAGAACAAATCATTTCTGCACAGTCATCATTTCCAAACTGTCTCTGTCCTGGAAAGTTTTTGCCAAACTTGCAGTACTGAGCAGGCACTGGTCCCTCACTACGCTTAAACTTCTTTGTTCCCACTTAACAGTGTTCAGAAGAGTTTTCCAACCCCAGTCATGGAAGAGAAGAATGATAAGCAGAAGTTGTCACAATATTGTGGTCTTTTTGGGTCACTTGATATTCCACTGATCACATCATGGATTAATTCTTAGTTCCTAATTCTCCTTACTGTGTTTTTAAGAGAAATCTTTAAATATCTTTAAGGGAGCCCATCTTACTGGCTTGTGAAAGTGTAATTTCTGCCTTTATACTGTGGTGGTTTGTTGTTTTGTTTGTTTGGGGTTTTTTTGGTTTTTTTTATTGGGGAATATATTGGATATATAGTGAACTCCATTTTTCCATGTCTACATCAGATAAAATTATATTGTTGTCTTTGCTGGAAGCTAGATTCCCCCTCTTCCCTTCCCCCTCTGCCAGTCACAGGCTTTGTCCTTTATTGTAGAGAGTTCAATGTATCTTTGGTTGCTTTTTCTCTTCATTTACCCTTCAAAAGAGAGAACAGTTGAGAGGCAGCTCCTTCAATAGTTTGTTGCAATTTGGTCTTGTCTTCCCAGTTGTCTCCCAGGCTCCTGTGCAGTGTTGTCTCAGGGAAGTATTATCTAATCATTGAGCTGCTACAGCCGGTATCTAATTTCTCTAAAAGTTTTGTAGATTAATTTTTAGAACCCTAATTTTTTTTCGTATTTTGTCATTGTTCTTAAATTGAGTTTTCAAAGCAACAGATAAGGCTGATTGGTTTTTTAACTGAAATTTTAATTTGTTTCAAAAAGCTTTTTGCTGTTTGATTCCTTTCAGAAATGCAGTTGAAGAATAGCTGATCATCTGAAACTAACCACTGTGTATTTAGTTAGCTAGCAGTTTGCGTTTCTGAGATTTGTTTTCAGTGGTGGCCTGCAATCTGCTTGCTGTACTGGAATAATTTGTGGAGGTTATGTGACCTCAGCCAAAGCTGAACTCTTGAGTTTTTTCACATACTTTTCAGTCTCTCGTTAATTCCTGCTCTGCTCACTTTGATACTCTGCTCTTTTCTGTATAAGATTATTCTTCCCCTATCTGCTCTACAGACTTCTTGTCTCCTTGAAATGTTCAAAATTACCTTAAGCCTCTTGATATTCCAAAAAGAGAGGGACTATACAGCTTTAAAAATTAAAACGATTATTGCAGAGCACTTATTGTAACCTCAGCAGGTGGCTAGACACATTTGTCTAATAAAAAACTTAAAACATTAATTTCTGCAAGGAGTTGGGAGGGAAGCTTAACAGACTGAAAGAGTGAAACAATACTATGCAGAAAGTAAGTGTTAATCTTGGAAATAATTAAAAATAAAGGGATTTTCAATGGCTTGTGAGGTGATGTACTACAAAAAGTTGTGTAATACAGCATTTGACTAGCATTTGAGATACAGATAATGATTCCGTATTTCAAATGTCCTTAAAATTTGTCATCTGATTTCTTTCAGAGCTGATCCTTTGTCCAACATGGTTCTTACTTTCTCTACTAAAGAAGATGCCATTGCCTTTGCTGAAAAAAATGGTACGTATTTTACGTATTGGGTGTGAGGGATTCAGCTTTCTGTAGGCAATCTTCATATCAAAGTGTTAACAACAGAAAAAGTACAGGATAAAGAACCTTCCCTCTGTTCCACAAAATTGGTAGACCATTAGTGCTCTACTTGAGGAGGAGGAAAACAGGCGGAGTATTTCTGAGGGTGCTGAAGGAATTGAATTTAGGTCTTCAGCTTTCTGGAAAAGTGTTCCAGCCTCTAATCAATGCTTTGGCAAGTATCCCAGCTATATGGCAGTGGGATTTTTGCCTGAAGACTTGACATGAGCATCTGAATTCTATTTAAGGAAAGACTGTCAGAACCCTTGTGAATGTTTGCTAATCAGAAAAACTAAAATTAAGTGACTACCAGGTAAGCATGTTGGACTTCGATTTTGGCCATGTTGCAGGATGGATTTATCATAGAATCACAGAATATCTCAAGTTGGAAGGGACCCTTAAGGATCATCCAGTCCAACTCCCTGCTTCTTGCAGGACCACCTGAAACTAAACCATGTGACTAAGAGTGTTGTCCAGACTCTCCTTGAACTCTGACAGGCTTGCTGCCATGACCACTTCCCTTTGGAGTCTGTCCCAGTGACTGACCACCCTGTCAGTGAAGAACCTTTTCCTAATGTCCAACCTGAACTTCCCCTGATGCGGCTTCATTCCATCCCCTCATGTCCCACTGCTGGTCACCAGAGAGAGGAGATCAGCACCCCACCTCTGCTGTTCCCTCGTGACGAAGCTCTAGATTGAGGAAGTTATACCTAACTCTTCCCAAGAACAATACTAAAGTCTAAACACTTAAACTTGGTGATTGTTCATATTTGAGAAAAAGACAGTAGAAAAGCCAGTATCATTACTTAATATTTTTAATGCTAACGATGTTTCAGAAGGACTGTACTTACTTGGTTATTTAGATTTGTATTTTCTCACAGAATTATAGTACCGCAAGCGGTATTGATAATCTGAGCCTTTTGACTATTTAGCAGTCCTTTTATGTGTAGGTATGAATTTTTCACTGCATATTTTTTTTTTTTAAAATCAATTTTATTTTCTTTAGAGAGCTAGGCTTGATGCTTTGTGCTCATGGATATGATGAAGATTAATTACACTGAGTTAAAGCCAGGAATAATGCACATGGAGTGTACACTTCTTCAGAAGTGGTCTACAGCTTTCAACTATATTTAGTCTGGGATAAATAGATAGTAAAGTTTCTTGGTCAGACCACATTGTGCAAAGTTGTTAGATGGCTTATGTTGTACACCCAAAAAACAGGGTAAGCCCATCAACTTATACAATTAAGAAGCTAAACCATTTAATATGCAATTTATTTGCACTTTTTAATGGTAAAGGCTAGTATTTCATTCCTCTGTTCCTCTCAGAATGGATTTTTTTAACTTAATAGTCTTAATTTTATTGGAAAATAAATGGTATTCACTAAGAAATTAATAGGATCATCATTTGCATTGTATATACCAATTACTGTGCAATTTTAATAGTATTTTGTAACATTTTATGAATAAATATGAAATTTGGGAGAATCTGGTGTGGCTTTACTTATGCTTCTCTATTGTTCATGCTACTTCTGTTTCTTGGGAAGTTCAGCCTATAAGAGAAAAAAACTGAATCCTGGCCTGTATAGCACTATATTAATGAGCTCCTTATCTCATCTCTTTGGAAGTGTTATATCTTGTCCTTTCGAAATGCAGATTCAAGTAAAATACTTTATTTGTTCAGTGTAGGAAGTTTATGCCTTCACTGAATTAGTAATGAATCTCCATTGTGCAGGAAAACTACAAAGCCATTCTACCAACTAAACTAAGGCTGTGACTTAGTATTAATATTGTTAGTTCAATATTCGCTTAGCTTGCACCCTTGATTTTACCATAATTGAGATGTACCAAACTTTTTGTGGATACTGGCTTGCCTAAATTATTATTCCATTTTTATTTAAGGTGGCTTAGTTTTATGTGTATGATATGTGCATAACATCTTCTGTAGTAATAGCTTCAGTATCAGATGTAGCTGGCAATAAAAATTTTGCAATATTTCATTCTGCTTTTAGAAAGAAATGAGAAACTTAGGCACGCATTTACAGTGGAACCCAGCTTCCAAACTGAGGTGTTACTGAAACATGTCTAAGTCTAGGAACTCAAATATTTACCTTTCTGTCCTTCCTGTATGAACCACCCAAGTTTTCCATTACAAAATTCTCTAAGAACCTCAAGTTTAATTTCTGCCAATCCTAGATATTGCAAGTATTTTGATACGATTGGGAAAGCTAAAAGTTCTTTCTTACCTAAGAAGTTCAGGAACCTGAGGCAAGTTACCTTTCTGATGTGTTTTCTAATGTAGGAATAACAGCACTGAATATGGTAATGGGAGAGATCTCTGTCCAGAATACGACAGCTGAGGATGGTCTGAAGTCGAGGCAAGGAGAAAATACTTGTAACTGGATGAAATTAAAAGTTTAGCCTGTTGACCTAAATTCTACTTTGTGCTGTCCGACATCACTGAGGCAGTTGTTTAAAAATGTACAGCTTTAATAACAAGGACGGAGACTTTTTCTACTCCGCTATAACGTTTAGTGAGGTGATGAGGGTGTTCTCCAGAGATGATGAAATCTGCTTTTTATCCACTTGGCTTGTATGGCAGGGTTCTGGGCAAGAATAACTTCCCCCACCACTGTGTTTTTCTTATAAAAGTGGCTTCTGCTCTCTGTCATGAACAACTGAAGGTGCCTGACTCAAGGAGACTGTTCCAGAGTGTGAAACCTTATCACTTATGGTGGCCTCTTGCAATATAAAGTTAACGTAACTAACGTTGTGGATTTTGGATACCTATGGCAGCCCAAGTCATTGTGCTGGCAGTGGTGACTTTTTTGGAGGCACTCGTCTCCTCTCTATCTAGTGTATAAAAAGATGAAGCAATAACTTGGAGCTGTAGATTCCATTCCAGCCGCCAAGTGCCTCAGAGTTAGGTGTTATAATGCTGAATGTTGCAATACCAAAGTCTGTCTCTGGATCTAGTTCTGGCTGTTTACTCAAGCTTGTATATTTATTCAGAACTGAAGGCAAAAGCCAGTACCCTCACAGGTGGAAAGAATACGTTTCTAAAACCTCTATTCCAGTATTTCTTATGGAGAATAGTTAACTTGGAAATTAGCATTGGTTCAGCCTAATAAACACGAAGAAAATGTTTGTGTGACATTTGTGAATACACAAAATTGAGGCACAGTGACGTGACAGGTTGTTTATCTTACGAAACATGTTTTGATGTGTAGATGTATCTTGAGTGTTTTCTGTGAACTTCTTAAGTGTAAAAATTCAGATATATGTTAAACCTTTTAGGACTTACCAAATTCTTGTTTTAAAACTAAGGAAGAAAAGTATCATCTTATTAGTATCTGTTAAAACTGCATACTTAACCACTTCTAGCTTCACCTCAAGTATCTCAACTTTGAGTGAAATGTTGCAGCTAAAGAGACCAAACTTTGTAATACTGAGTGCTGCCCTGGCAACTTTCCAGGCACCTGGAGGCTGGAACCAATTTGCATTTTGATTTACATAAACACTAATGTCTCCACCTCCTCTTTTCTGACATTTTTTAGCATTTCTCTTGCTTAACTATCACATAATTTACTTGTCTTTTATCACTTCATTCCCTTTTCTTTCACTCCTGATTTTTTATGTTCTTACGAAAATGTTAAGTACTGAACTCCTTTCTAATGCTGAAGTTTTTTCTTTGCTCTTCCTTTCTTTGGTCCTCCCACCCTTCTTTTTTCTCTAGCTTTCCAAGGTCTCCATTCTTTCCCAACCTTGGGGATTGATCTTCTGTATGCTATTTTTTTCCATGCTCCCTTATCTTTATTTTCATTCCTGTCCCAGTGTACACAGAGCCTTAGTGCTTCTGTGATGCTATGGAGTTGTGGAGCCATGAATTGGAAGGACAGTCAGTGTTCCCTGTTGAGCTTTTCACTGATGACTGTCCAAGTTTTTTGCAGGAGTAAAGAAAATGGATGTACGTAGTATGGTGAAGTCTTACCGACTGAGAGAACAGGCATATGTCACATCTGTGGCATTTCAGTACTCTGTGCTGCCAGCTACAAAGGAATAAACTAGTGGATGCCTATGTGGAGAAAAAGATAGTAAAGTTAAAAGGTTTAAGTTGCATTTGCTCTGTATTGTAAACTGAGAATATTTAGAATTCTCTTTGTTTCTTGTCTTCCCCCACCATTTCCCCTGTAACCTCCAGGCTGGAGCTATGACGTTGAAGAGAAGAAGACTCCAAAACCTAAATCCAAGTCTTATGGTGCAAACTTTTCTTGGAACAAAAGAACAAGGGTGTCTACAAAATAGGTTGGCATTGACTGTCTGACTGTGAATAAAGTCAGCTGTGCTATATTTATAGTCCATGTATAATACATCTCTTAATCTCATAATAAATTTGACCTTTAAACTACAGACGCATCTTGTGATGTCTATTTAAAATGTTTTTGATGTCTCCAGTTGAACCTCTTACTAACTTCCCTATAAATAGAGGAGATTTGGAGTATTCGTACTTCTAAAAAATTGCTGTACTAGGAATCTATCAAAAGGAATGTTAGAAATCAGCTGCAACTTTAAAGATTATGGTTCGTCTTTGATGGGAATTTTATATTCACTATCTTGTTTAAACTTACCAGCCTTGCATATATGAATTCTCTCAATAGAAGCTGGGTTTTTTTCTTTCTCTTCCTATAGAAGAGAATTTTGTCAATTGAAGAACAAAGTACGATATATAAAACTTAATGTTTGAGAATAACTCAGACTATTCTGTGTAAATGTATATTATAAAAGCTCCTTTCTGCCCAAATTAATATTGTCATTATTCCAGAAGCATTCATGACTGGAATAGAAAGCACTGGTTTTTGTGTTGGATATGGGGAAGGTTTAGTCCAAAAGATTGAGATTGCAATTGTTTCTCTGTGATGCTATTCAGAATTGAAACTAAGCCAGTTAAACATTCACAAATTAAGTCAGAAGAGTGTCGGGCGCCTCACACAGCATCAGCATATACTAATTATGTAATTATAGTTCTATTTTTTTTTATTGCTAGTTACATGTTTATCTGCATTGAGGTTTCCTGTTGCCTAATGAGATGTGATAGCATCTCAGCCTTAACATTGAATATATAGCCTAAGCTCAGTTTGTCTTACAAGACATTCAGTCATTAATTTGAATAATGCACAATATTATGTTTGGAATCCTTGGTTACATATCTATGGCTTTTGATTTATTCATTTCTCCTTCAACTTTTACTTAACAATTTGAGGTATCAACACATGATCAGCAAAATGTATTATAAATTAGGGGAGGTTACACCTTTTTCATATGCAACTCAGAGTTTGATCCTAACTGTCACAAAAGAAACAGCTGAGACAGCTCTCTCCACACAGATCTAAAGAGTGGTGTAAGTGCACTGAATTCTAGCTAAAAGAAGGCATAAAACTACCTCGTGTTGCTCAGGTTTAATTATATTCTTGTTTCAGTTTTAACCAGCTGCCCTGTATGCTGGCTAACGTCTTTAAAGCATTGGTTTTGACCCAGTTTCAGTGTAATCAACCAGTTCACTTATGCAGCTATTTTCCTATCACAGACAAGAACTGTTATTCCGATTCATCTTCCTATTGAATTTTGAATGCTGCATTGTGCAGTGGAGCCTGAAGTCCTCCAGGAATGCCAAAGTGCCCA